GGCTCTTTTATGGCTGATTAAATGATTTATTCAGTTTATCCCTGGGCATGTTGACTTTATTTGAGTCATATAAGAAACTAGTAGAAGTGGTTTATATGGGTTACTGGGAATCCACTCTCCACCAATGCTCAGTTCATATGTATCTTTAATTATAACTCCAAGGTATGCTGTAGTATACAGGTTTGTTTCAAGTTATCTCTGAGCTCAGAGTTCCTAAAGCTGTCCCATGTTTTAAGACAGCCAATTAATTTGAAGTTTTTAAAATGTATACACATTCAGAAACTTTTGACTAGACCTTGATATGATGTTATTGCTTATTTCATTAATTAAAGAGGTAATTATAAGCACCCAAGCAACAAAAATTGAATATCTTCTCTATGCTCTATAGCTACACGACATCAAGGAGCCCCTACCCTCTTCTAATTATTTCAGACTAATGACAAAATTGAATGTTTTATCTTTGGAAATCGTTCAAGTACTATTCATGTTATGGCAGTATTTTGATTGATATCTCATCAGCACGTACAGTAGCAGTATACATCATTAGATGTACAGTGTCCACACAGAATTTTCTCATCAGATAGACCAGCAGTGGGTCCCATATTGATTGGATGATGAAGAGCAAAAATTGAGCTTTTATGAAATATATGAGATGTGGAGACATTATCTGCTTTGTAAATGGATTGAAAAGAAGAAGAAGAAGCTTAAGGAGGAGATATAATGGAATCTTTGACTGAAATTGGGCTGTTGGGATATTTAGCCCCTGATAATGTCTCCATATGCCACCATTTTTCTTGATATTAATTCTCTGAAAATATTCTTGGGTAGGGAAAGTACTTTTATTCATGGTGACATATATATTTGTTAGAATATTTTCAAACATGAACTCTAAAAATTGAAAAAAAAAAAAAAAAAAAAACATGGCAGTCTCCATGCATTTTAGACCCCATTCCCATACCTAGATCGATCTAGCAGGGAGAGGGGGTTCTCATTAAATTGCATTCAGATTAGATGTCTCGCATGCCTATAGCAGCTGCTAAACCATAGTTAATTACCCCTTAACAACTTCAGTAGACATGCCAGACATCAGAGCCTCTTAAGCTGAATGTAATTTAGTGAGAAATCTCTCGGAGATGAGTCGATCCTGCTAGATCATTCTAGGTATGGGAATGGGGTCTTTGTGAGGTTGGACAATATTTCTTAGTTTTAAATTATTGCTCACGGGTGTGGCTGTTTTTTCATAAAACTGTCTGCAACTGATAAGTAAGATTTGAAAAAAAATTTATAAATTGTAATATATATGTTAGGGTTGTACCTAATAATAATCTTTAGTTGATTGCTTTTGAAATGTGGAGTTCATTTAAAAGGTAGGGAGGGTATAACTCATTATTTTTTTTATGTAATTGCAGTCTAAGAATTGTATTTAAAGGGATAATAACTCTTCATATGAGATCTATATTTCACAATCAAAAACATTGTAAACAATTCATAGAAATATAATATAATCTGTTTTACCACAAAAGCAGCTGTTATAACTATTATTCTGATATCTGAGCTTGTCATCGGACCACGTGACCACCATAGATGGCTGTACTCTTAATAATCTCTTAAGAGGCTATAACAAAAATCCAAACATTTTAGAAAAGAAAAAAAAAAAAAAAAACGAGGGACTAACTTTGAATGTAGACTTGGATTCTTTAACCATTGGTAACTCTGGGAAAATTGTTGTCTACTCTGGGAAAATTCATTTTTTGGCCAAAACGAACAGTTAATATCCCTTTAAGAGTCTGATTTATGCTGACATACACCTTGATATGTGATGTTTTTCTGTTATTGAAATACCAGTAGAGATGTTTCACATTTGTCAAATAACTGTTAATTTTTATTTAATTAAATTTAATGGATAACATCAGGGCATGCATTAAGTTTTGCCTGTTCATTAAGTGGATTAAGTAGACTTCCAGAGAAGTAGTGACATTTATTACTGTTTTAAATCAACATTATATAGGTTTGTCTTAGGTTTACTAAATTAGTTGATAGATATATCTACATTGATTAAGGTTTAAATTAGTTGATATGTATGTTTATTGTACACAGAGTTATTGCTTAGAGTAGAATATTTGGCATGAGTGAAGTCTCATAATGGCAGCTTGATTGGGTTTTTGCTGTTATGGTTGTTAATCTCTGGATGTAATTAACCAAGATAGGTTAATGGTGCAATGGGAATCACAACTAGTAGAAAAGGTTGATGACCTCTTGTGTTTCCTCATGATGTTAAGAAGACTCCCAAATGGAAATCCTCCAAGGTAACAGAAAATGAATTGTGGCTTTTGGCACTGTGCGATGCCATATAAGACTAGAAAATGTGCGAGAATCTACAAGAGGTGGGGTTAACTTCTCAGTGATAATCATGTGACTGTTCACCAGGAATTTTGTCTAAGAAAGCAGTAGAAATCACTGATGAGACTTTTCTGACTTTCGTCATAATTGTGACTTTTTCGGGGTCATTTGGGTCATCCTTGTGAATCGTGTAAATCTGTTGAATTGTGTAAATCCTACTTTTTCAGTGAGGACTGGTCTCAAGCCTGAGAAAAGTGATGTAGGCAAAACGTGGTAAATTATTATTGTTGTACAATAGACTAAATGATATTTGACAGATCTTAAGAGAGAGAGAAAAAAAAAAGAAAATATCTATGGATAAATTTTGTTAGCTTTCATTTGTTGCCGCACTGCTCTCTCTAGTCTGACATTATTTTTCTCCAATACGGTGTGAAATCTGGCTTGATTTTCTTCTAGGTTGTAAGACTTCTGTGGGTTATAGTGGATAGTGCCGTACACTGATAGAAATGCCAAGTTGTATCCTCTGTCAGACCATTACTTGTATTTCAGGTCTGATGCAGATATTTTGTACAGTGGGGTGGGGATTGTTGTTTGTTTTGCCTATGATATTGTGGATAGAATCAGAGTGTGTTAGTACCAGTAGTTACTCCTATTTTGTACAAACTCAACCTGTTTAATTGTTGCTTTTTAAAAAGCTAACAAAATTTGAAAATTCACATGAGCCTTGAACACCTTCAATTTATCTTCTGATTTATTTATTTATTTGTGTAGTGAAAAGTGTCTAGCCAGTTTATCTCAAAGGCTTATGTGGACCTCTAATAACCAGCCTCTTGGTTATTCAGGTTCTTAGATTTACTTTTCACCAACAAGACAATTGAGACAGTCGGGTTTAATTTTCTTCTACCTAGTTTATTTCACTGCAAAACTGGAGTCTGTACAACTATAAGGGTGTCTGTCCACCTTGCTGTCTATCTCTCTCTCTCTCTCTGTCTCTCCGTCTCTCTCTCTCTCTCTCTCTCTCTCTCTCTCTGTCTCTCTCTCTCTCTCTCTCTCTCCTGTATGTACTTAAACACTTGATGTAGGTCTTCATTACAAGTGAATGAATTGGGATGGCAATTCTAGAACAATTTTTTTCGCAATCCAGAAATTGCAAAATTCCTTTTGAATTATCCTTCATCATAGTTGAAGACAAGGAACAGGAATAACAGATTTTACAAAAAAAAAAAAAATAATAATAATAATAATAATAATAAAAAAAATAATAATAAAATTCCCTAGTCAAACCATGCAGCCCTTTTTGTACACAATTTTAGCGTATGCAATTAGAAGAGGTTTGCTTATTATAAATTAATCTGCGCTGTCAGAAGTAATATGTCTTTTCCTAAGATGTTTTTCTAGGAATCTGTTTTTCGTGCCACTTATGTTGGCTCTGTCTTCTGTTAATTCCATTTGACTGATATAATAAGTTCATCTGAGGTGGTAACCTGATCTACAGATCACCTTGTTGTTCTTTACTGTACAGTCCTGCTTGATGACGTAGTTGCCCAATACCATTTTCCATCTGTGTTACTTAATCCCAGTTGTTGTACTTGCTTGGTTTCATGGTTCCCTTTTGCCTTTTAAACTAAGCATTTTGGATTTGTCTCTCGTGAAAAGAGTAGCATCTTTTTCTGGTGGTCACTTACACAGGAGGCCACTCACCATTGTGTTAGAGAAGCAGAGAAAAACTTGCTTTGCAACAAATGAAAAATGGAAATTTAAAAAATGAAGTCACACGATGAAAGCATTCTATTTCAAGTCATAATCATGGTGAACATGTGAAATCAAATTAACAAACATTTGTGGCTGATTCAAGAAAAAAAAAAAGATAAGGATTGAAGTGTCTGAGACAGTGGTTTTGGTATGCTTCAGTGAATGACGGACGCTGTAACACTTTACAGTAAGATAATACATACTTTCAGTAATTTAAAATTATTTTTATAAATTACTGAAAGTATGTTTTTGTGATTTGTTTTCTTCCCCCCAATTTATCACATCACCCATCCCAACCTCTCAACTGACATTTCAAATGGAGTATTTTGTGCTTGGCAATGGCACGACTTCTTGACTTCTCAAGGTTAAATGGTGCGGTTATTCCATTTTTATGTATTTTTTCCTGTCTAGGTTGTTTAAACAGTCATACACAATGTACCAAACTATGGTTTTACCAGTATACATCATTGCATGGTATTATATATTTTTGTAACAATGTTGTATTGAGGACTTTTTACAACTTTAACCCAGTTCCAATTCTGTTAATGTCCTGGTATTTTTTATTTCATGTTGATGGTTTGAAATATTCTTGGCTATTTCTTGTTGAAGATAGACATTTCTTGGAAAATATTTGTGAAAGATTGAAGTAAATGTTTGCTGATAGATTGTGAGAACTAATGTATCTTTGTTGAACAGAGTCTTGAAGGTATTTATCCATTATATTTACCTGGAGGATGATAACTGCTATGTAATGTATTGATCATTAATCATTATGAAATTTAATACCCTGCTTAGTTGAGCATACAACAGTGAATTGACACTTAATTAAAACAAATTATCAGAGTTTAATGTGAACTTGATATGTGATGGAAAGTGGAATACACCTCAAGAGAAAAGTATTCCTAAGAAGAAAATACCTGTTGAGATAAGATCTGGGAAACTCATTGCTTTTGACTGGCAGATACATGCCCTATAGGTAGAGGGCCAATCATACAGCACGACACAAAGCTAATAAGCTTTTTCTCTGTAGTGAGATGCAAAAGGCTGTTTTATTGGTCTGTTTAGAATAGTGTGGGCAGGGCATACTATTGACATTTATTCTCAGAATTTAAACAGGAGCTTAAACCTTTTTCTCCTAGTGTCAAAGTAGTGATTGGCAGAGTGGTTTTCAGTCGAGACAGTTTAGAAAGAAATGTAGCATAAACTGTATTTTTTATTTATTAAATGAAGATCATGCATATACATATGTGATGACAACTTTCATTGTGGATTTTCACACTCGCTAGTTGAAGAATTACTTGAGATAGCAGTGAGTGGACAATATGAATAGGAACTTGTAAGTATTTTATTTTTCTTTGTATTTTGTATAATTTCCTTAATATTCCTGTTGTGTTCATAAAGTTGCTTTCAAAGTATTTAACTTTGATGTTTCTGAAGAATAATTGTGACTGTAAATGTAAAGATTATAAAAATTACAATTTTAATTAATAAGAATCCAATATAAGATTTAGAAAAAATAATGTTTGAAATGGTAATTTATTATAGTCGGTCTTTTATGAGATATGATATGGACATGTTACGAACAAAGGGAATAACAAAAACAAGATTTTGATGTGAAAAAGTTAGAAAGATAGGTGCATATACTATATCAGTGTTGTATTTGTTAAATTACATGTCATTTTGTGACCGTAAATGTGTTACACAGGAAGTCATGTCATATACACATGACACATAAAAAAATTTGCCAGCATAACAGCATGTTTATGAACTGCCTCTACTCAGTAGATGCGATAGATCAATCCTTTTCCTGTATATGTATGTTACCATCCTCATCACCTACGTCTATCTGCGTCACAGTCACCCACGTCTGTCTGCATCACCATCATTATCACCTACATTTGTCTGTATCACCATCCTGTCAGCTAAAGCCTACATAAGCCTTTACCCAAAGCTGGAGCCAAAGCCAGAACATTTTTGCCCCTGCAGTATATGAAAAGCAATATAACATTTTGTTTCAAACCTACAGTGATTACCCATGCCATTGTCTATAAAAGGGGGTCAGATTTGAAACTTGGGATAATTCGATTATTTTTGACATTTAGAAAAACTTTTTTTTTGCCATTATAAAGGCCTACTGGGATACTGATTTTGGTCAAATTTAAAAATGAGCACAATTTAATCATTTTCTGTATTTAAATGTTTTAATTTGGTCTTGGTATTTTAATTTTTTTGAACTTGTGGAAGCTTAAATTATCGTTTAAATAATGAATCAGTTTGAGTTGAAACTTATGGGAGTTACTTGTGGGAAATCAGGGGCGGATCCAGAGTTATTTTTTGACAGTCTTCCAAATTATATGATTATCTTTGTTGATCCATCCTGCATTTTCTGACCGTCTTCCGACAGAAAAAATTAGATACCCGTCAATGTAAACTTGAAAATCTGACCGACTTCCGGAAGACCCAGAAGATGCCCTAAATCCGCCCCTGGAAATAAATTTTTGTCATATCAAAACTGCGCATGCATGGTCAGATTATTTCAAATCTTATAATAAAAGGAAAAAAAATTAATATTTTCATTGTAAGACTTGTAGATGCTGTATTACAAAGTTGAGTGCAAGTCTGCTAGAATTAAATCTGGGTTTCAAACGCAGGTTAAATTTTTGAAGTCATTACAACATTTCCATAAATCTCATATTTGATAATTATTTTGTAAATATTTTTGTCTCCACAATTTGTCCTGGTATATTACAAATTTTCTCCAAAGTTTGAAGATAGAATATTAACACCTTGAATTTCATGTGCTGGGCATATAGTTATAGGCATTCTTTTAGTATTCGAACTGTCAGCTTTAGCTGTTTTTTTTTTAGAACTATAATTCATGAATTACAACCAACTTCAAAATACAAGAGAATTCTGGAACTATCTGACAGTTGATGGACAAGTAAATAGTAGTTGAATATCCAAATTACCAAGTTAATATAAGTCAGGAATCAAAATACTGTAAACAAGTGAGAGCCATATGTTCTGTGTATATCTAAAAAGAATTATGCATGGGCCATATTGGTTCAGTTTCATTTGGGTTTAAAATCTCAACAAACAATGTTTTAACACATGTGAAAGCCAGAAAAGGTGTTTGTTTTTTTAAGGTTTGTAGCTCAGTGGACAAGCCATGATTGAAATGGTTTTATCCAGGGTTCAATACACTAAACAGTCTGAATACATATATCTGGATAGGGAGAAAAAAGAGAAATGACAGGAACTATTATGGCCATATTCGATCATATCTATTTTATTGTTTAAATCATAACAGAATATTGGGTGAATTAAAAAGTTATCCAAATCTATCATATTGTGTGAAGCCTAAGGGCGTATTCCCAGAGCTTTTAGATCGATCTATCCCCGCGGGGAGTCTCACTAGATTACTGTCAGATAATCCGGCTTAAATGTCCGTCCCGCCTACTACAAGCTGTAAGGGGGTAATTAACTTTCGTGCCCGCTCGGCTGACAGCTATTTAGTGGAACCCCCAGGGAGTTAGGTCGATCTAAAGTAGATCGATCTAATCTCTGGAAATGGGGTCTAAGAATTGTCCAGTGTCATCATTTGATTGACAGATAACATTAATATATTGTGTTAGTTTAAATAATAGAAAGTAAAAGAAAAAACAACAGCAGTAGCGCCCAGAAATGATTGTGTGGTTGATCAGTAAGATTATATCATGTAAATACTAAAGAACAGGAGTTTAATTTTGACTTCTCAAGAATATCTGTTACAGTTGTAATTTCACAAAATTTCACTGTATATTACAGAATAGCCTGATGCACGTAAACATTTTGACTCCTTTGAGGTTGTATTATCCCTGCAAAGCTCAATAAAAAGAAATTAAAAATCAAAACAAATAAACAACAACAACAAAATAATAATAGAACAAAGATACATTAATGGCATAATGTTAATCAGAGTTGGACATGAATTGACCAGAAGAGCTGATTAAGTGCTTGCCTTTGGCATATGAACATTTGTTGATTTTCAACACCTGATGGTACCCCTGTCTTGGTAATTAAGGTCTTAGACAAGCATTGTCATTTGTTGAAATATTTGGTTTAAAAAACCATTAGTTCTATAAATCTGATTTTTTATATAACTTTATTGCTAAAAATTGATTGAAATTAGGTCAAATTTTACCTATAATGAACCTTTTCCTGACAAAAAGGGTGGTTCTTTCACCCCCCCCCCCCCGTACCCCCCTGGCTATCTATTACCGTCTATTTAAATAAATAAATAAATAAATATCAGTGTGATGAGACCCTACTCTAAGGACCCTATTCCAAAAGTGAATACTGCAACAGGAGGCGAAGAGTACACTCATGGAAAGAGAAGGCAGGAAGAGAGAGGAACGACAATTCAAAAGATCAGAAAGTTGAAACACCAAATTTAAATCTCTGCCACATTTAGAAAAGTTACAGCATATATCAGAATCTGGTATTGCGGAAACTAATAGCAATTATATGCCCATTTTCTTCACTATAGTGCGCTTGTGCCCTTGGGCATTAAAAAAAAAAAAAAAGATTCTTAGGTTTTTCATTAATGTGCTGATACAATTTTTAAAACGATACCTTCTTCCTTACAAGTATACCTTAGTATTTAGTGGGGGAGGGGGCAGTAACACGATACTAAATTGAAGTATGTTAATTGGTATGCCATGCAGTCCCTGACATTTTGTCTCTTGTAGGTATCATATTTTTAACACAAAACAACATGTGTATGATGTTAATATATATCTTGTCTCTTATTATCCCCAATGTGCCCATAAAACGTAGCCCAGGTGCTGAGCCACTGAATTCACCAATTTTAGTGTGCATTAAGTGAGGCTCCGATGTAGTTTAATGCACATTAGAATCGGGGGCATTCAATCACTGTGACATAAACGCATGAAGGATTGAAGAAATAGTGGAGGTTTCTGGAAGCTTTCAGCAGTTAGATCTTAGGAAACTAACTTTGTCTGTGAGATTCTCTGTCCAGACAACAGAATTGGTGCAGGGCACAAATGGGAGACAAGTCACAAACATGGAGGAAATGATACTTTTATGGAGGTGGGGTGGATTAGGGGGGCAGTGTTTGGACCAATTTTTTTATCACGCAGTTAGCCTTAGAGAGGATTCAGCTTAAATTTCCACCCATGTGATACTGATGAAATGTACATAGATGTACCCTTTATATATGTTCATCATGGTGTTGTCATGAAAGCCTCGTCATTTTTTTTTTTTTGTTCAACTAAGTGGGAGGATGAATGATGGGCAAATTTGAAGGGGTTGGGGGAAGGCTTTGATCATATTTGGTTTCTAATGATAATTCTATTGTTACAGGTCACATTGACAGAGAAGACATATTACTCCTATTTTCATTGGAAATAAGAGCGAAAAATACAGCCATGGTTAAGAGTTCTTTTAGTTTTGTGCCAAGATAAAGATTGTTACAGGAGAAAGTGATCAAGCATATCATTAGAAGGAATAATACTGCGTGTGGCAGCTGCAATTTCGTAGGATTTCCTCGCTATTCAGTGATATCTGCTCACTACTGAGTTCCTGTAACTAATTGAAGGGTTTCCTGTAAGCTGATTATGTGTGGCAAGACATGAAATCCAATTAATTAATGACAAAGAAGCAGGCAGTTGAACAGACACGTGGATTTCCATTCGGATTATCGTTTTCTTGGTAAAAATAATCTTATGCTGAAAGAAAATGATATTTGCCAGCTTTACTGTAAGATGGGCACAGTCAGAGTATTAAATTTTATCAGCATTTTTTTAATGAAAACTGCCAAGTAAATTTTTTTCCTATCAGAGCAGTTTGTCTGGATTAGTGACAAAGCACCTCTCATTCAACGAAAAAATTATTTTGGTCTGGATTTTAAGAGTTGCTGCCTTGCATCTTAAGCACTAGTGAGAACACTTTGGAGATTGAGTTTCAGACAGCGCCTACTCATCAGCCCATTGTTATGTAGGAGTTATGACACCCTGGTGAATTATGAAAAGACTGCCAACAGATCAGAGAATTGAAGATAAATGAGACACTTGGAAGACCATTTGTCAGAGCTGTAGATTACTGTTCACTATTGCGTGCGGCAGATGACATGCATGTAACAAGGCGTTAATTTTCTCACTAGAAGGAGCCGACGTTTTTCATCCAGACTGGGTTATTTCATTAAAAGACTGTTATTTTGGATGCTTGGCAGTTTCATTACATTTATTTCTGCATGTCAAAAAGTTTGATGGATTGAGCAGATTTTGTAGCAGTTTGTCCCCATTCGTATTGATATCAATACATGTATTAGTGCCACCCCAAATATTTGAAAATAATGGTGAGTGCATGGCATGTTGAGTTTTAACAGACTTTAGATAGAAGTGTTTTATACTAAACCAAGAAAATAACTGATAGTGAAGGAAATATGGATGTTGGATTATTCACAGGAAAATACACCTTTAACATTATAAGAACTGCTTAGTGATTTAAATTCTGCAGTTGTTATATTTCTATTTATTTTATGAACTTAGTTTTGTTTTATTCTGAATTATTAAGATCTGGTCGTGTACAGGTTGAGTCCATCACATACCAGTAGGTGCAGTTTGATTGAAGGGAATTTGTACATAGTTTGTGCTTAAAAATTTCCTGAAAAGAAAACAAAAAGTCTCAGGGTTGTTGGCCTATCACATTGATCAGCAGTGTTATGTACTAAATGAGATTCTTATTATTCTTTTTCCATTTGTTCAGATCATAAGTGAAAACAGAATGCCTCTCCAAGAGAAGCCAGGTTCCAACCTCTCAGTTCTGCTGTTGAACAGTTCCGTAGAGCATGATGCAGATGTCTCCTCAGACTTTGCATTCAATTGTTCTTATGATAATGTCAGTGGAAACTGCACTAACATCGACCCAGTCACGCAGAACAGTTTACTCCATATCATGATGAGCATTCTTTTTTATGCTTTTTGCGCTGCTGGCATAGTAACAAATAGTTTGTCCCTAATTGCAATATACCACACATCCAGACCATTCAAACCAAAAAGAATTTTTATCACAAATCTGGCAGCGGTGGACTTGGCCACAGTTCTGTTTATATTATTAACAGACATGATAGACCAAAGCCACATTTGTAGTAACATGTCCACTACCATTCTGATATCAGTTTACGAAGTCTCTGGGCTCACAGTTTTGACTTTGACAATCGACATGTTCATTGCAGTCTGTGTGCCCTTGCACTACTCCTTGTCCATGACCAAGGTGCGGGCTTGTATTATTGTTGCCATTATTTGGGGATTCATCATTGGAAAAGATTTGCTATTCATTACCGTAGGGGGAAGCCTGTATGGAAGTGAGACTCTCTGTGAAGGCGCCACCCCAGCATTTCCCTCCCCTTTGGTGTACTTCAATGCAGTGTTGTGTGCCCTCATATTGCTGTTGTCATTAATATTGTACATTACAATTTTCCTGGGCATTAGAAAACACCAGAGCATGTTGCACAATGTTGAGACAAGGGTTCAGATCAAAATGAACCTCAAAACCACTGTTACTCTTCTTCTCCTCTACTCGTCGCTGTTAGTGAGTTGGGGCCCATGGATTGTAGCCGTGGTCTTAATTAGCTTTGGCTACGGAAGCCCTCCTGTGAATAAGTTGCTGATGGCAGGGTTGTTTTTAATGCTATTTAATGTCTTGTCCGATTCCATTGTCTTTGGCATCCGCATGCCTGATATTCGAAAAGGCTTGAGGAAGGCATTCAAGATGAAGTCCCGCTCGGCACGTTCTTACGCGAGCTGCCCCACTATGAATGGTAGTTTACGGGTATCTACATCTATATAAGGCATGCCGTTGGTGAAATTTAAAGAATCCATGAAATGCAAGGGTGGTCGAAAGCCTTCTTCTGGGTCTTCTGGAAGATGGTCAGAATTTTTTAAGTTTACATTTCTGTTGGAAGATGGTCAAAAATGGAAGATGGATCAACAAAGATAATTTGAAAGACTGTCAGAAACTATATCTAGATCCACCCCTGAAATGAAAGTAGTGAAAGATTTTATGAACAAACTGAGCAAATTAGAATTCTAGTTTAGTAGCATCCAGGCTGCTACCTTATTATGTTTGTTAAAATGTATGTACCATAGGAGTAACTTTAATTTGGACTGTAGCAAGTATATAGATAGCTTAATTTGTACATTTGACTTAGTTTTTCATTGGAAATTATTTAATTGGTAGTTTGATTGCTGAGCTGTTTCTGTCAGCAGCAAACTTTTCACTTCTACATATGTCGATCCATGAAATAGTTTGTCTATAGATTTATTAGTTACTTAAGAGCAGATTTGGTCAGTAGGATGTATTTTAGTCATTATTGCAGAGATATGGTTTCAGAAAAGCTTTTGAGCGGAAAGCTGTTTAAAGTTTTTCGATAAAAGCAATTTTCGAATTAAAAATGGTAGAGGGTTTACCAGCTGACTTTTGGATTCTCCAATAATTAGAAGTCTCATGGTGCATGCCTGTGTGAAGTCTGTCAGATTTCATGTGGCTATGGATATGACCAGCTCAATATTGTGAAATGAGAAGTTGAAATCTTCAGGGGGATAGTTTGTGGCTTAGATGCTTTTTAGGTGTACTTTCCTGTTAATGTCCATGGCATGCTTTGAAAACATATGCCAGTCATTGTTAGGGATATTCCACGGGTTTTTGTCCTTGGTTTCATCTCTTTGCCATTGATAGGAAAGAAAATCAAAATGACAGCAATTGCTGTTGTTTTTGATGTTATTATTATTATTATTATTATATTTGTTGTATATGAAAGGATAAAAGGCACTTTATGGGCATAAAGTGGTGTTATGAAGGTAATGAAAGTTCCGTGGAGTGGCCCATGATTTGAAAAACTGTTATTATCTAGACATTTTTATTCAGCACATTTTTTCTGTTTGTTGATATTAATTGCAAGTTTTTTGTTTTAAAACAAAAGGGAAGAAGTTCAACTGTTCTGCTGTTTACTTTGAAGTACCACTATGGAAGTTTGTCCATCTCTAAATTTGTTATTTATTATGACAGAGCAGGAAAGTAAAGGGCTACCAAGTCACAGACATTTGTGAACCACATTTTCACCAGTAAATGCTAGTACTGTAAGTTTCATTAAATATTGTGTTGTTAATTGCTCATGTGCAGCAAGTATATTTTCACATGCATTCTGACTTCTTATTTCACCATAACTCGATAAACTGCCATTTCGTGATCACTCATTGAAAAATGGAGTATTGTTCAGGATATTTTAAGAGCCACCAAACTGAGACCTTAATGATATTTTTTGTATGGAGTTTGGATCTGTTTTGAAGTTTTAGAGTCAAAATTATATTTTCTTATGTGTATACATGTTCACAATGAATTAAATCCAAGACTGATTGGAATATTGTTGAAAATATTGGAATATTATTGGAAGTAAGTATGTGTATTATAAAGGTTTGAATGTGTGTATTTCAGAAATCGGCCACCTTTCATGATTCTGTCAACTTTGGGCACTTTTTTGCAGTGGCTAAGTTCACTTATATTTATAATTATCTCTCAATGTATCTTTCTTGTTTTTACTCACATTTAGAGACCCTAAGCTCAAATCATAGAATTAGAAAATGTTATACAAAGTTTGTTTTATTAGAATTTTTCTTTTTAGTATAGAATTGCTGGAATCTGTTTTGGTATACATTGTTGCACATTTGTTTGTATATCATTGTAAATAGGTGTTAAAGGTTAATATTCATTGTGACATTGATATTCACTAGAATTATGTTGTTTGTTATTATATTTATAATGTTTATTGTCTATAAAGAAAGTGTTAGTGGCATTTGTTGTGAAAAAATATTTGATCTAATAAAGTGATACTGATATAATATATAAAAATCCTTATTTTATTTTCTGGTATGAAAAAAAAAGACTATTACTTTTAGTCAATATCTGCTTGGATAATAAAAACAACTTTGAGAGTTTTGCCTGATGTTATTTTTTAATAAATAACTAAAAGATAATTTGTAATTAGTATGTTTAATTACCATAACCCAATCGTCTTTTCCTGGACATACAGTTCATGAAAAAACCTAAAGATAAGTGGGAAGTTTTTGCATTTATTTATACAAAAAAGAAATAAAGTTATTATGTTGGGTCAACCTATTTAATCTTAACATTTGCTAAACTGAAGAGCAATGCCCCCCAAAAAATGCTTGTTCAAGCTTAATACAAGATCAGCTGCTGTCACGTAAGTGACGTATGAATGTATTATTTTTTCAACACTTGTTTTGTAGACTAAGGTTCCAGTGAGCCCAGACCAGGAATATTTTCTCCCAGGTTTTTTTAGAAATTTGGTCCACATACATGTAATCATTGAGACCATTCACGTGGAGAAGGGTTGAGGTCTAGCAAGGCTGAGACCTAAATATGGTGGACTTACATGAAAGGAAGACCGCGTAATCCTTTAATGGTCTCTCAGTGACATTCATTGATATTCATTGAGGGGCCATTAAAGGATTACGCCATATTTAGGTCTTGGCCTTGCTAGACCTCGGCTCTTCTCGATGTGAATGCTCTCATTAAGGTAATATGCCAAGGAAGCTTTGTCACACGTTATGGAAAATTGGTTGGGTGAGATATGAGTGACTGGCATATAAATAGCATATGAATCAAGCATTACCAGACGAGATAATGTGACAAGTGTTGATCAGCTAGAATGGAGCGAGAGGCTTATCAGTTTTGAGTGCTAAGACATTTGTGTCAGTTAAATTTATTTCATTATTTTTCAAAGGACTCGTAGCAATTACTGGGGTCTCTCTTGTGCATTTGAGTATTTAGCAAAGTACTGAAAATAACTTTTTTGTCACCAAATCAATGTTAAATTGATATTCTTTGATCAGATATTCCAAAGCACCCTGACCAATTTGAAAAATATTGACCCAAGGGAATAACTTTAGCATTTGACTAAAACTTGTTTTGTTGATAGTGACTCAGAATCTAGAATGATTCTTTACTTGTGGTCTGTCAGGTTTTAGTCTTGCCGGTGCTTGGACTTGGACTACATTCCATTGTGATCTTTTATAAGCTGTTTAAACCACTAAAAAGGCATCTTCTTTTGAATTTAAAACCATGTGTGAAGAATTGATATATTTTGATGTATTTGAAGGTTATTAAAATGTACTTTTCATTGATTACTTTGCTTTTAAGTGATCCTATCCGAGATTCTTCTGCTTGATTTTTTTTTCAGAAAATAAGCAATTATTACAGAATATAACCATCTGTGGAGGTCACGTGGTCTGACGACAAGCTCAGATATCAGAATAATAGCTATAACTGCCATATTTGTGGTAAAACCGAATATGTTATATTTCTACAAGTTGTTTATAATGTTTTTATTGTTAAATTTAGATCCTATACAAAGAGTTATTATCCCTTTAAGGTCAGAATTGGGAAAGATAAGTAGCTTTTCAAGACATGAAGACAAAGAAATTGAGACTTTTGAGATATTATTAAATACTGTTAGTATGCTTTTAAGGTAATGGACCCCGAGTTGCGGCTTTTTGACCACAATCAAGTGGTAAGTGGAGCACAGCATGAGTCCACCATATAAAAGCTACTGCCACTCTGCTGTCTATCCATGTAAACCACATTATACTCACCTCCATAGAAATATCAATAAAATTTTAAGTACTGTCTTTGTTGATTGCTGTAAAATCTGTAAAATAAAGCATCCAAATCAGTTCAAGAATAGGCCAAATTGAAGATTGAATCTTCTGAAATCATGTCTTTTTAATTTAAATCAGTTGCACAGACAGTTGTTTGGTACCAGTATGCTTCAGGAGTTTTAAAGAACAGGTTGTGTAATCGATTTACGATTGACCTTACAAAATGAATTTTCCTCAAAAAAAAAAAAATAATAAATAAATAAATAATAATAATAATAATAATAAAGAAGTAAAATAAAATTTTAAAAATTCCCCAACTTAGAAATCATTGCTCGATCAACCCATTGTATTCAATGTTTAATATAATATTTTTATAATATAATATTTATGGTCAATTAGAAAGCCATGTCTTCCTGTTGAAATCAGTTTCTTTTATTTAAGGAGTTTTATAGTTTTAAGTTATGAATTGTGCACAGAAACGATGACTTTGGGAAAGTATTCAAACATGCACAGTGTGTCTTCAACTTAGTCTTTGCAGAACAGGAGAATGAAACATGATTGTAGTCTATTTAAACTGTGATGGATTCATAGACAGATGTAAAAGATAGAATGATGTTCATATTAGCAAGAGATGGTTAGAATTATAGTGAAGAACTTCTAATGTCTTGTGTATGCAATTATGTATCATTTGGGCATGTTGATGCCCTTTTTTGTTTTCAGTACAAATGAAAGACTATCATTTGTCTTGCTACTGTTAAATCAACTGTCATCGTTTCATTAAGAAACAGTATTTATCTTTGTTACCCAAAGAAATTGATAGGCATGACATAAATGGAAATAAATGATATTTATTGTTGATGGCACTTTTATTTTTGGGCATGTTGAACACAGTGCTGGCCTTATCTTCGTGTATTTTAAAGCTAAATGTCAAAAACCACGGGTGCTATTTTAATCTTTTTCATGCATGATCTCCATAATTATATGGTGAAGAGAAACTTAATATATATATCAAATCAGTTTATGAGTAGTGAAGAATGTAAGGCCTTTGATTGTAAAATAAAGGAAATATAAAAATTATAAAATGTGAGTAACACATACTCCTATTAACTGTGGTAATAAGGAACCTGGTAAGTTGGTAGATTTTTATCAAATAAGCTTTTTTTGATATCCTTTGTTTTTTATGTGTGAACGAAAAGTCTCCCTATGGAGACATGCAGGCAAGGTGTTCTCCTTGAACAAGGCTTGAAGTACCAGTAATTAATACATGAGGGATATTGATTTCTTTAATCCTACATT